CTTGTGAAAAGATTTTGTAAACTGCCTTAAGGCAGTGGTAGAGCCCTAACGCGGGCGAGGTGGTCGTCGCCACCTGCCGTTGCTCTCTTTCTGTCAGTGTTTTCAAACGTTGGTGTCAAGCAGAGACTCTGCTGTGGGGAGAGAGCGTGCAAACCTGGTGCTTCTCGAGGTGGGCGCTGAATTCATCCTGCTGATACGCCTCACCGAGGCATCAGAGTACCTGAAATGTCAGCTTTTGTACCTTGGGTGTAAGGAAATAGAAGTGTGAAGGACCTCTCATCTTGAATGCCTTTTGGATAATTGCTTTCTAAACAATTAATGCTGTTAATCAAAGCATTTGAGAAATCAGCTTTTGCTTTTGTTCCTCCCCCCCCCCCCCCCCCCCTGCTATCTCTGTTTTTCCCTACTACTGTTTTTTCCTTTGCCCTGTTAATTTGGTAGCTTTGTGTTCAGCCCACAGGAGAATGACATGTTAAAAATAGAAACATTATTCTGAAGGCACAAAAGGTAGCAATTTGAACTAATCAGTAAGGTATACCTTAATACTGCAGTTAGAAAATAGTATTTTATTCTCCCAGAAGTCTCACAGTTTTGCTTCTTGCAATCAATGGCTCTTGATTGAGCCTATTTGAACTTCTCATTAAATATTCCTTGATCTGACTCCTAAAGAGAAATCTGAAGAAAAGGCTTTCAGAGGGTAGGGAGGAAAGTCCTGCTCTAAAGCAGATATATCTCATCACACAGAAGATATTTAAAGGGACTTAAAATTTTATTTCTTTTACAATAATGTGACAGGACTGTTTCCCCCTTTTTTTTTTTTCCTTATATATTCTTTCCATTTCTTCAGTATCCACAGAGCTCCCCTTCATCAGAGGCGTTGCTCTGTTGTCCTGGGTACTTCTACCATGTCCTCTCTGTGTGTTCTGGAGCCAGTCAGACCAGGGGAACTCGCTCGTGTCGCTAAACCCAGGCTACTGGCATCAAGGGAACTGTCCGTGTTCCTGAAGCTTCTGTTTTCTTTCTGCTTGTCACTTCTGTGAACCCCCTGCCAGATGATTTTTACTGTAATTCAACAAAGAAATCACTTGTCCTTTCTGTGGACTGGAGGCAGAATACCACTTTGCGAATGTATGAGAATGTAAAGTAGTGAAAAGAAGAGTGACAAATTTTTGGCCTACTTTATATAATGAAAAAACTGATGTTTGGAGGTTGAGTCAAAGGACAAGGTGGGTGCCTACTTTGGAGAACTTATAAGAGTTTCAGCTGTTTGGTTTTGAGTTTTCTGCTTTCTCTCTTGAAGTTTTCTCAGTCAGTGGACAAATTCTTCTGATTGACTAATTATTGGAAGGGTGTTGTGTTCCAGTACAGCAAAATGTGAGCAATAGCAGTTAGCTGAATGAAGTAGCTTAGTTTTAATTAGATTCTCTTTTGGCTTTGCCAGAAAAAATTGGTCTTCCTGAGCTCAGGTACTTTGCATCTGAAGGAAGAAAACTGAAAGGAGGAGAGCACAAACAAATAAAAACATTGTGGAGAATCACAAGGAGACAATCTAGTCCACAAAGAACTTGTGGGGATAGAACTTCCCCTCCTAAAAGGAAATGCTGATAGCTAAGGTGGCTCCTGCTATTTGGTAAGGATGACCTTGAGAACTGTTTTGTGAAAATAAAGGTGTGTTTTCTGGGAGAGAGAAACAAGTTTTCCCCTTTTCTATGTCACTGTTCAGCTAATATCCCTTTTCCCTCCCCTCTATTTAGCTTGAGAAAATTCTGTTGCCTTTCTGTCTGAGTGTGCCCTGCCCCCAGTGTTTCTTCTGAAGGCAGTGTCACAGATAAGCATCTTGTAAAGCTCTGCATCTTGCTTTTCTGAGGTTTCTCTTGGAGATGCTAATTTATCCCTTTTCACTTGATTAATATCTCAGTCTAGCAGGCAACTCTTTTTGCCAGATGAATGCTATTTTACTTTGGGGAGTAAGGATTTGAGTTTCAAAGAGTAATTTACAACCCCCTACTTGCAGTTTTACTGTAATTCTACTAGAGATGTTACTTTATTCTATAAAGATAACAGCATTCGTTCAAGTACATGTGTGTTTCTTTTAGTAAGCAAAGCAAGTAGCAGGTGGTATTTTCTTATTGGGAATTGGCTTGACCGCAGTAAATTAATCATAATGATTATGTAGTTGTCTAAATGACTTGCTCGTGATGAAAAGCTGTACCTGGAAAAAGTTACATATGGAGCTGTATCTTTGTAGTACTTTGGAAGCTTTTGTCTTCTGTAATACTTTGGAAACTGTGTACTGAAATTGCCAGGTAGGTTGTTTCTTAATTCTGCAGGCTGCAGATAAACTTAAATTACTTCTTAATCTGAATCTATAAATCTGAGTTTCGGTACCTTGAGCATTTGAATCCCTTGCGCTACAGCACTGGAAGCACTTAAATAGCAGAGCTGCTGCTCACATATGTAAGTGAATCCAGCCTCAAGCTGCATTCGCTTCAGAGAAATGTATGGGTCCTTATACCCATAAATCATTGGTATATAATGACTGGAAGGGGAATGCTTGTGTATGTGAGAGACATTTGCAGTTATCATGTAGAAGATCCCCTTATTATTTTATAAGCATTAACATTGAAGCATCTGTAAATACTTTGTTTTCTTGTATTGGCCAGGCCCGCACTTCTTGGGACAGGGAGTCAAGTGAAATGCGTTACAAGAGGCTTCAACACTTGCTTGAAAAAAGCAACATCTATTCCAAGTTCTTGCTTACCAAAATGGAACAGCAGCAACTGGAGGTAGGTGTGGTCTTGTCTGCAGTGGGGATTCTTGAGATAGGTATAGATAGCTCTGTTGCCTCTGTCTGTTTTTTGCCATCCAGTTGTTTGAACTGAAGTAAAAATTCTCTTAGGCTTACAACAATAGCATGAAAATCTACTGAAGGTGCTGCCCAGGAGTGCAGTGATCCTTGACATAATCAGAATTTCTCCTATGCGTCCTATAAGCATGACTTCTAATTGAAAAAGCACAGCATAAGAGATGGCACTGACAGGTTTACAGTTCTTCTTTTGGCTTGAAGAGAAAGTAAAAGTGCTTCAAATAATAAGAAACAAAGTTTAAAGAAAGTAGAAAACCTGGAAGAAAGATAGAAGAAGGCAAGATTTAACAAACTTAAGTGGTGCAGCTTGTTGTGCCAATTACCAAAGGCTGAGGATGAGGCTTGTCTTCAGGATGAGAATGTAGGACTCTTTCAAACGACTTAAATTACTGTGATCTGAGGCCACGTTGCTCCGGAATAAGAGCTTTCGCCAAATGATTTGATGTGTTTTATGGGCAAGCTATAAGAGTTTGAGCTTGACAAAGAGACGAGCAATCTCAGGAAGAGCTTCAAATCCAGAATGTTCTCAGGAAAGTGACATTGATAGGCTGCATGAACTTTTATTCCAAAATATTTTTCTAGTTTTATGTGTCAGCTCAAATTCATGATTACCGCATCGATAGCATGCCTATTTCAGCATTAAGTCTTTTATTGCTCAATCTGATAAATACGCAGATCTTTGTGTCCCCTGTCCCCCCAGGATATTTCTGCTTTCAGCAAGTAAATATAGTAGATGGAATTAACCTCTTAGATTCTTCAAGACATGAAAGCACTTCTTCCTTAAAGGCAGTGTAGACTACTTATATTGTTTTCTGTTCTAGACAGAATACAAGCAATAACATGTAGAAATTAGATGCATACATGCAAATCTTAACTTCAATAAATATGTTCTTTAGTAGCGTGCTATTGGCAGTAATTTTTGCTGGAGTCTTCCTGAATTAATGTATTTGTCTGAAAGTGTTTAAAGGAATTCACTGACAAGTAATTCAGAGCGATTATACCCTCTTTGCCCAAGTCTAGCTTTATGATTTTAAACAATGTCAGAATTGAAGGCTTTTAGTGTGACTGCAAAAACAAATCAAGTCGATAGATTATATTGTTGATGTAGAATTGTGCGTACTCTATGTCTGTTATCATTTCTATAATGGATAGTTCTCTTGAGGGTGTTCCTTGAAGATAATAAATGCGTGTGGCTTTTTAGGAGCAGAAAAGGAAAGAGAAGTTAGAAAAAAAGAGAGAGATGTCGTTAAAATCTGCCAAGGTAAGACTAACTAGACTCTAAATAAGTCTGACAAATTATCATGTCATTTTTGATCATCTGTTCAAGGCAGGTAAACTAAATAAGTTGAAGTTCTCCAGTCATTTGGCTTACAGATCTGGTTTTGTACTATATTTGTTTTTAACCATAATAAGATTCTTTAGAAGAGCTTAAAAATCATATAGCATGGCTGTGTTTTTTAAGGAGGCTTTTTCCGACCTGTTTTCATTCAAGGAAATGGTTTACATTCATTGTGAGTTTTTAAACTTTTTTGGTTTAGAAGTAGGAATGATTTTTGCTGTAATTTTATAAACTCTTTAATTGTAGAAGTGTTTCAGAAAGTTTTCAAAGATAACAGCCTGAGGCTAATTGCATCTTCCTTACATCTATGTCATCCTATTTAAAGCTACGTAAGGTGATGAACCTTTTTTTCATGTTTATTTTCTAGGGTCAGAATCCAGCTGATGGCAAAGAAGAGAAATCAGGTAATGTATAAGGATTTGCTTCTTGTCAGTACTGTTTTTTGTTCCCTTAACATTTGATGTGCTGTATAATCTCAAATATTATCCTACAGCTGCCAAAAAGAAGAGAGGGAGAGAAGATGGAACATACAACATCTCAGAAATTATGTCCAAAGAGGTAGGCCATGACTGTAAACGGGCTTGTTTGGATTTTTGTAACACCAGTTTTAACTGGTGACAGTTCACTGTTGTGACACCTGCGTTTCTTGGAGCAGTAAATTTTCATATGTGGTTGCAGGAGATCATATGTCTTTCAACAAAGTTCTACATAACAAAAAATCTTGTAAGACCTGTAGGATTCTTTTTTTAATATTTGGGAAGGCAAGCTATGAAGACAATACCTCTCCAGAAGATGCTCTTTGCAATTGGAGTATGTTTGCTGATGCATGTCCTTTGTTTAGAGTCACTCGCCTGATTAATGGTGTTGTATGGAAAGTCACTTAAAGTATGTCCAGATTTTTTCAATTAGAACTTCAAGGTTCTCCTGAAGCGCAAATTCTGTAGCCTTTAAGGTTGAAAAGCCCACGAGTATGCTCTTTTCTCTTTGTTTGCAGGAAATCTTATCAGTGGCAAAAAAAAGTAAAGTGGAAAATCAGGTATGTTGGCACGTGTTATTGCAGTTTTAAGTGTGTTAAGCCTGCAGGAAGGAAAGGCTTTTTATACTTAATAGCAGATCTCTAAATTTTTCCTGTAAATAAACAGCACTCTGCTAGGTATTGAAATCCTGATTTAGAAGTTACAAAGAAGTGATGCAAGTGCGCTTAAATATTTATTTTCTGATATCTCTGGTAAAACTCTTTTGTTTTTAACTGGTTTAGAGTGAATTATACTTTACAGAACATCTGTAACTTGGAAAATAAAGAAGAGAGCAGTTTACTAAGAAAAAGTGAGAAGCTTTTGTTAGTTTATGAGCCCTTACTTAAGGTATACCCTCTTGTAAGCATTTAAACACAGTGAATAAAAGGTGGTAGCTTCTTTTTTGTGCTGTAGCTTAAGAACTGCAAGTACATTATGAGCCACTTTCTGACGCTCTAGAATCCACTTACAGAGCAGAAGTATCAGTGTTAAATGCCAACCTTTGCATGCCAGGTTTTAAGTCTGCTTGCTTTCATTGGTAGACGATCATAAGCATAATCACTTCAGTAAATATTGCTGCTTTTCAGTTCCAAAGGAGTAAAGAATATACAGAAGGCATTGAATTTTTGCACATTGACAGTATCATTTCTGAAAAGAAGTTCCGCTCTTGCGCTCACAGTTATTCAAAAAAAAGTCTTTGCATCGGGGCTGTCGTACTTTATTGCACAGTAAATTACAGCTGCACATTTGCCAAAAGTGCAGCACAGATTCCTGCAAGGAGCTCCAGAGGTGTCTTAGCTGAGCTTTGAATTGTATGCTACTTGACATGTATTGTTTGAACTTTCTTCTGTAGGATGAAAGCTCTTCTCACAACCTGTGTCCAGAAGATTTGCAAAAAAATGGAGACTCAAACAGTGTCATTAAGGATAGACTGTGTCAAGCTGTACGGCACAGTGCCAAGCAATTCCTCGATCCAGTACGGAAATTTAATGGACAGCCAGTGCCTTTTCAGCAGCCGAAGATTTTTACTGGAGGTGTCATGAGGTGGTACCAAGTGGAAGGCATGGAGTGGCTCAGGGTATGGAGCAATAGATTAAAAGTTTAATCCCAGTCACTGACTGGAGACAGAGAAATGGAGAGGAGGAACCACTAGGAATCATAACTAGTACAGAGGAGGTGAAGAAGGAACAGACAGTTCTTCATGATTTCTCATGGTACAAGAATTGGGCATTATGAAACAAAATAGTCAAGAAGCAGATGCAAAGTTACAGGGTGGGGAGGATATCAGGTTTTGTAAAGGTTTTCTTTAGACTTATTGGTTGTTGTTTTCTGTCTTCCCTCTCTCCATCTGTTTTCTTGTTCAACTCGATTGTCTCTTCAGCCTTTTCATACAAGAACTTTCTGAAAGCGCTAGGTCCGTGCTACTTATTTGAGTCTTACTACTTTCCACTCTTGAAGATTTGAATACCTAGCACCATACATGTTTAAAGACTCACTACCTTACAAGCCTGACATGGATAAATCTTTTCTATTGCTGTTTGGAATCTGTGGTTAGTGATATCAATACAGTGTTTTTAAAAATGTTTTGTCTTTATCATTTGAAAGCAAAAGCTAAAGAAAGTTGACATTTAAAAAATGCCCATCTGTGTATTTAATCTCTTCCTATCTCTGCTTTCAAGCCAAATTAGAACAGCTTTCCTCGTTACTCGTAGGAGCCAGACAGAGCTAACTTACATTCTGCTACCAGTGCCATATCATCTTCTTCCCCCATTCTCCTACTCCGCCCCACAAGTGGATGTATCCTCTTTTAATGAGCTTAGACTCATCTCGCAAGTGAATGCTACTAAACCTACTCTGGCATTCTGTTGCTGGGGAGTGCCTAGGGAAGAGAGTAGGTCTGTTTTAGGGTTCCTTAGCTGGTTCCTGAGGTATGAGATTCTTATTCATGATGAATAGGTTGAGCAGCCAAAAAGCACTGCTGTCTTCCTTTCTGTTCTGTTGTGAGATGTTTCTCTGTTACTTATCAGCATAGGCAATGTCTGTGCAATGAACTTTTGCCAGAGCTGCTGGCTGTGTTGGTCAGGAATTACACCTTTTTTCCTATGGTAAAGTAGCTGTGCCGACAGAAGTTACTTGGATAGATAAAACTGAAATATCACAAATGCTTTCCTCCCAAACAAAATTATTGTAAGGGGAATTCTTTGAAGCTGGGATGAGTTAAAATTTGGGTAGTATGAGCTGTGCTTGCTGTTGAAGTGCTTTTTAATTATAATGCTAATTCTTGTCTTTCCCTTTGATAGTGTTCTCATGTTTGCCTCCTAGTCAGGCACTTAACTGGCTAGTAGCACGTACACCGATGTATGCATGTCTTGTGTGTAACAAGATGCTTATATTTATTTTGGTCATGGAGAAGTCTTTCCCATTTTGGTTCAAAATGTGCCTATTGGAGAAAGTTGTCACAGGTGTCTATTGTTCCTAAGGTGTTTCAGGTCCTTTGCATTCATGTGCTTTTCTCTGTGTGTCCAGATGCTTTGGGAAAATGGTATCAATGGCATTTTAGCTGATGAAATGGGGCTGGGGAAGACAATCCAATGCATTGCAACGATAGCACTGATGGTGGAGCGAGGAGTCCCTGGTCCCTTCTTAGTATGTGGTCCCTTGTCTACTCTTCCGAACTGGATGTCTGAATTCAAGAGATTTACTCCAGAGGTAAAAAAGTTAAGACTTTTCTCTTCTTCCTTGTGTCTAAAAGAGCGAATTATTTAATTCTTACTCTAATCCTTTGTCTTGGAATTTTTTCTATATTGAACATCAATTTAATTGTGTTTGTTTATGTGGTTACTACAAACTATACCTGCACTTGCCATATATTTATGGTCTTCTTGTAAGTAAGTTAACTGTTTCTCCTGTCATCCATTTAGTTTTACAGCTTTGCATGAGCTTAATTGGCCTGACTTCTAAATCTCATTTCTTTTAGATTCCGTTAATGCTGTATCATGGAGCTCAACAGGAACGTCGTAAACTGGTTCGTAAAATTCACGGGCGACAAGGATCGCTGCAGATTCATCCTGTGGTCATTACTTCGTTTGAAATAGCCATGCGGGACAGAAATGCCCTACAGGTACCAAAGTTCTGAAAATCCTGTGACAGGTGGAATGCCTCATCGCTATTAATAGCAATGCTTTCAAATGCAGTAAAAAAACTGCATGCTGTCTATCTGATGTGATATTGCAGCACTTACATTGGCATTCACTTTTTCTGTGCTGTTTCCTTGGTAGCAGCAGCTCTGGATTTTTATGCTTAAGACGTTCTTAAAATAGAACATTTAATCCAAAAAGTGAAATAAACAGATAATTACAGCACACATTTTCTTTTCATTACCTCTCAGTAGGTGGAACAAAACCTGGGTTTTTCTGTTTTTGGTTTGGGAGGGTTTTTGGAGTAAAAGTTGTACTTGGTGTATAAATGTCTTGGTTAACATTGGCGTAGTTGTTTCAGGGAGGAGAGCGTTTTTTTGTACAGCGTTTACTGACCGCCCGCCAAAGAAGCGGAATTGCTGATGCAGTGCCTTTTCTTGTTTACTTTTTGGTATAAGTTTCAAACCCATACATCTGTGAGTATTTTTGTAGAGAGTAAGCTGCAAAGTAACGTAAGAAGGCTGTTAAAGGACACTGATAGGGAAATCCTGGAATATGTTAAGTGAAAGTTCTATGCAACCTTAATTTATTCCCTGGGCATGCATGTATTAGAGACACTAACTGCATATTCATATGCTAACTTTTATGCAAAAGCCCTGTCTCCACTTCATAAAACACATTTTTACCTGGGCAGCAAAGTGACAGTTCTGTAATCACCTCAACTTCCTAAATGCATTCTCGACCAAGCAGATCTATGGTATTAACTATTTGGATTAATCTAGTCTAGTCTGTCAAACTGAGAAAGATCACTAAATAGATTCTTTTTAATGAGAAGAATCAGTTAGTCTTAATCATTGGTGCTGCTCACCTATTGCGTATTTTGATGGAGTAACGATAAGATTTCTTGAAACATCCTTTATTTTGCAGCACTGCTTCTGGAAGTATCTAATAGTGGATGAAGGTCACAGGATTAAAAATATGAACTGCCGTCTTATCAGAGAACTAAAGCGATTTAATGCGGACAATAAACTCCTTTTGACTGGTACTCCCCTGCAAAACAACTTGGCAGAGCTATGGTCGTTGCTTAACTTCCTGTTGCCAGATGTGTTTGATGATTTGAAAAGGTAAAGGTTGCAATCTGTTGGCAAAAGTTATGCCCTCTGTTCCTTTGGGCGATATTGTGATTCTTTAAGTATTAAACTTGTATCAGTGCTTAAAAAATTGTTTAATGTATGGCTGTAACTTTTTTTTTTTTTTTTTGTGGTAGAGGCATTGTGTCTTCACACTTCTTGCTTCAGAAAGGAAGAGTCAGCTCCATGCTTGGTTAGTGGAAACTCACCAAGCATGAGCTAACCCTGAGCATGGAGGGATGATGTAGCTGTCTAATCATAAGTGCCTAGTGCGGTATGAGATTCTGTAAGGCATTAGAGACATCCGTGTGAGGCTAGCAGACAGGACCTGTGGGAAAGCTATGCTTTTCTGAAGCAGTAGCTGGAGATTAGGTGGAGGAATAGGGTCAAAACAGTGTTGAATTCGGTCTGTATTCGGAAAACAATATAGGTTATAATGAATATAATAGAGCATAATGAATATTCCAGTTAATACTTGTAGTTTTACTGATCAGTTAAAAATCTGAGCATCTGCATAGACAGGTATATTTCAGAAACCTCTTATGAATAGAGAGTGAACAGCAGATACAATGTACGCTGGTGTTTTGGTTTCCTGTTTTTTTTGTTTGCTTTTTAAATCACAGGATAAGAGAAGGATAGGATACTTCAGTCGCAAAGAATAATAGCTATAAAATAAGCTATTCCTTTTTTCTTCTTTACTCTGTTTTTATAGCTTTGAATCCTGGTTTGACATTACCAGCATTACAGAAACTGCTGAAGACATTATTGCTAAAGAAAGGGAGCAAAACATCTTGCATATGCTGCATCAGGTTTTCCCTTACTCTTTGTATTGTTTTTCATGATTTGTTTCTAACATTGGCCTCTATTAAAAACCATGTCAAAATCTTGTTTGTGGAGATGACTTCTGGGTCTAAGGCTTTTATTGCAGCACTTCTGGATTTCCTTAGCCTTGGGGCTTTGTTCAGTCTTTACAGCACACGTAAGTGCTGAAAAGAATGACATACCTCTTTGGTAGTGACTCATTCTTGTTCTTGGAACTGAGCTAAGATTAGTCAAACTTAATCGCAGTTGCTTGCCTCTTTTTGCAGAGACTAAACTGGTATATTTATCTTGTTGAAGGAACTTTGAGGGAAGTTATGTAACTTTGAGGTGTTGGGTGTAAAACCTTGTGACAAACTAGTTGTATAATTTGTTTTCAAAAGCAGATAGCTTGTTTTCAAAAGCAAAATCAAATTATTACTAACTTTTTTTGTTGTTTTTGTTGGGTTTTTTGGCTAAGGAAAAAAGTCAATGCTTAGAGAAATAATATTTTCCCACCTTAAGCTGGTGGTGGAAGATAGAAATTGCATCTCCTAGACTGTTGACAAAAACTTGTTCTTTGGTGCAGTTAACAGTTTGTGCAGGCCTACCCTTGCAACAACATTTAATTTAATGTAAGAAACGTAGCAAGCAAAACTGAGGTATGCGATAAAGATAAAATTACGTTAATGAAAATGATTTGAAAAGCTTGTCAGGTAGTGACTGCTGCACCTTTATTAAAGACTTCAAAATACTTTTAAAGTGTCAGTGGATGGATTGTTTTGATATATCTATTAGCAATATGTATGTAGAACCTTTGGAGTATGAGTTTATATAAAAAAATGAAATATGGAACTCTGAAGATTAAATCCCTTAGTCTAAATTGTCGAAATAGCACTGTGTTAGTAGAACCTTTTGTTGCTCTAAAACTAGCCCTGTTAATTACTTCATGAGGCGTTGTAACACACATTCAACGTTTCAGATTCTGACGCCTTTCTTACTCAGAAGACTGAAATCTGACGTCGCTCTTGAGGTTCCTCCTAAACGAGAAGTTGTGGTATATGCGCCACTGGCAAAGAAGCAAGAAACTTTCTATACTGCTATTGTAAACCGCACCATTAGGAAACTGCTTGGGAATAACGAGGTATCTGCTGAAACAGATGTTAGAAGTGTACTTGCTACTAATGCTTCGTGAGCAAAAATACATGGGCGTTGTTTCATTGCTGGTGTTACCAAAACCACTTTTTGCTTCAACTTTTGGATCTAATCTTTTTGTTAATTATTTCAATGGTAATTATTGTGACTGACCTCAATGTGCGCAGAACTAGGTAATGAATGAGTGCGAACGGCTGCTTCTTGGCTAGCCTTAGGTTAGGGAAAAAAGACGATTCTCAATAGCCTGACAGTTTCTGGTAAAACATCAGTAAAGTTTTCATGCAGGTCTCAAATCAAGCAGAAGCTTTCATATTCTACAATTGTGGACCTTTAGGTTGTGGACCACTTTTTCTATGTAGCTAAATTTACGACTACTGAATCTTAAGTATTGGACAGTCATTGCGACCTCTTGGCAGTATTGACAATTCTTGAATCAGCGCAGGTATTTCATCTGAAACTATCTACTGCTAATAGCATTGTTATTTCCTGCAGGAAGAAGTAGTTGAATTGAGTCCTACAGGCCGACCAAAACGCCGCAGTCGAAAACAGGTTGATTATTGTGAAGTACATAATGGTTCACCTGATGACTTGGAAAAATTGATCAGCAAAATGCAAGAGGAAGTAGAGAGAGAGAGGTGTCTTAAAATATATTTTTTTCAAATACTAAATATGTCCCTTTTATTTCAATGTGCCTCCAGAACTTTGCCTATCAGAATTTACCAAGAATGGCAGGCATTTTACAGTGCACTGTTCAGCATTGAGACTTAAGGGACTTGATTGTTCCTGGCTTCTTTACGACCCCCAGGATAGTCATAGAGCTGACTTTGGAGTAGTTTATGTGTTGTTCCACAGGAACTCTGACCATTTGTTGGTAGAGGGGACTTGCTTCTATTCCTTTTTCTGCTGGATGACCTGCACAAGTTGTTTTTCCATCTTCTGCTTACTACTTGCTACCCTTTTGTATTTTAAACCAATCATGACAAACTTCTCTTGTTGGACCGGTAACAGCCTTACTAACTATGAAGGATTTTGAGGAAACTTGGCACTCCACACGAATTTTTTGCTTGATTGTTGTGCATGTGTTTGTTTTTTCACTGTCTGTAACGTAGTACAGAAAGACATCACTTTAATAATAAGGTGACATGTCTTTTCAAGGCCGGTGGTAGAAGTGAACATTCCCATGGATTCGGAGGTGAACCTTAAACTGCAGAACATTATGATGTTACTGAGAAAATGCTGCAATCACCCCTATCTTATTGAATACCCACTGGACCCTGCTACACAGCAATTCAAGGTAAGTATTTTTAAAGCATTACCAGAAAAATTACTCAAGGCATTAGAAGCAATAGTCTGAGCTGACAACAGTGAAGAATTACCGTGTCAGTGTATTCAGGACAGGCCTAACCATTGAATTGCAGCAGTGTGATTGAATCATTAAAGCTTCCTACAGCAGCAGTTGCAGGGAGCAGTTCAGACTCTGTGCCCTTGTAGCCTTTGCAGTAGCGATGCTGTTTGTCGTTATGTAGGCACTTGTCTGCTGGGAGCAAGACTACTGATTCAAGCTGATTCAAGAGCTGTTTCAGGGTCTGCCCTAAGGTCTACTCACAAAGACAAGGCTTCAAAACCAAAAATGTTGTACCTTGGTGAACTGTTCGTGACTTAGATTGTACACACTGCAGAAGCTATGGCAATAGCTTGTAAGTGTAAGGTGCTCCAGGGAGGGTATGTACAACAAAATAATCTGCTCGGAGGACACAGGATCTTGCCTCCCCCTCAAAAGGGAAATGCAGAATAGGTATATCGCGTATCACAAGGGCCAGTTGGTAGCTTCATCTACACAAAGCAATTAGCAATATAGCAATTCAGATTGAATCATTGCCATTTGTGGGAGCTTTAAGACTTAACTGAGTTTTGGTTTTTTTTTTTTTTTTGGACAAACTAATTAATTTGTTTAAGGAGAAGTTAAAGGTGCTTACTCATGCTAAATGTAGCTTTGCAGGCCCATGTAGTCATGTTGCCTCTTCAGTGGGCAACATCAGATTCAGCTGCACTTAGGAGCAAACTGTCAAAGCTTTTCGATAGAAAGTCAGTGTGTATTAAAGGGTTGGGGGAAGCAGATAACTGAATCTGGATGAGGAGGTGTGATTAGTGTATATAAAATGCTGGTTGTTTGACAGTTGACACCACATGCAGGAGCTAGCACCTGTTTGGGAAGATTGATTAGAAATTAGTGAGATGGCTTGCTTGGGGCTCAGACACAAAAAGTTTCGGCATCCCTGCTTTTAGCCCACAGCAAAAATTAGGTGTAAGAAATTGTCTTAAACAAGAGGGGGTCTAAGGTAGTAGATTAAGAATTTACTCTGTCAATTTTTACCACTTGGCTGATGTGTATCTTATTCAGCTAGTGCTATTTATTCCCAGCAGGTGGAAACCTTGCACATTAGTTACCACTTCTAGAAGCTGGGGAGAAAACAGCTGTGCTGTTCCATTGGCAAAAAAATAAAAATCATCAAGGTTTCTCCTTTCAAAAATGTCATGAAAACAATTTAGAAAAAAAGATTTGGGCATATAAAATGGTGGATTTGATATAATTTCATCTTGATTAAACTGATTCAACTTACTTTGCTAAAACAAGTGTTTCCAGTGTTATGGCTTTTACTTTAAAAGATGGTACAGCTTGTTTCTGTAAAATATTTTCAGCCAGCTCTTGTTGGTGCATCTGAGTGGTGAAAACCTCTGAGTCCTTCCCTCTAATATACAACCCACCCTCTTCCCCCCTGCCACATTCTCCTAAGGTTGATGAAGATCTAGTAAAGAATTCAGGCAAGTTTCTGCTCTTGGACCGGATGCTTCCAGAACTGAAAAAGAGAGGTCATAAGGTAAATTTATGTGTGGGAAAGGGGTTGGGGTTTTTGTGCTTGTTTTGGCATAGTTGTTTCCTTATCAAAAATGGTACTAAGGAATCTTCCTGGTTTTGTAGGTCTTGTTATTCTCACAAATGACTATGATGCTGGACATTTTGATGGATTACTGCTATCTGAGAGACTTCAAATTTAGTCGATTAGATGGCTCTATGTCCTACTCGGAGCGAGAAGAAAATGTAAGTAGGCGTACCTGCCCTTTGAGCCTGTTAGTAAAATTTCTGCCTGTTCTTGTGACATTGGGGTGCAATTTTACACAGCATTTAGGCTTTAATGTGCAAGAGACATGTATGTTGACTGACATCCTTGCTGCTGCTTTAATGTCTACTGCTCAAAAATACTGAGGTAGTGAAGTGTGTTACTAACCAACATCTTGCAGTCTGCCTAGAATCATGGCTGCCCACATGCTCTGTGGCCGAGATGTGGCATGCATAATGTATCTAGATTGTAACAGATGCTAATCCCAGTTTTGCTCCTGCCCATATTGCTTCCAGGATCCAGGATGTGATGCTAGCATCTGTGGGAGCATACTGCAAGTCTAATGCCAAATAGAATAGACTTCCTAGGAAATAATCTTGCGTACCTATTGGGACACCTGTAACTTTAGCCAAGAGAGCACATGGATTTGGTCTGGTATAGTCCTTTGTTCTTGCATGCTTGTTGCAGCTTGAAGCAGTCACAAATGTCCAGCAAAAGATGCTTTGGAGGAATAAGGCAGTGCTGTCCTTCAACTCATTTGGGTGTCAGCTTTTGCAGCCTGCAAAGTGCTTTGAAGCTAGAGGATATTATCTTGGCATAGAAAGAAACTTGAATGCAGGCAGATTCATCGTGCTCACCACTAGAAAGATTCTAAGTAAACACAGCAGGCCCAAGGGATAAATGAGAAATTTAAGGTGCAGTGTGTTCAAGCCTATACCAGATGTAGGAACAGTAACAAGCACTTGCATGCTAACATGCTTATCTTGTAAATTGTGAGGCGTTGCCCTGATTTGTTCTTTGGTCACAAATTGCATGTGGTACCTTTTATGAGGAAGCAGGTAAACTAGGTCTGTCTTTGTCCCCTGTGGCTTTTATCGGTTTGTCAAGTTATCCATGTTAAACATTTTTTGCCTGTTAAATTTTTAAGGTATATAAAACATTTTGGCATAGCTGCAATTTCCCTCTTCATATAAGCTGCATGAACCAGAGGCTCAAAAGAATGCTAGAATTTTGTTAAATGCTGATCTATGCAAAGGAAAAATGAAGAACATAAGCAGAACAGCGAGGCCCTAACAGTGTTACAGTCTCTATTACAAACAAACAAACAAACCTCCGCTGCACAGTAACTGAAGTGTACCTCCAGCAAACTATGGGAACAAGGGATAAATGCAGCAAGCTTTCAAGGGGGTGACAATAGCTGCCTAACTTGTTTCTTTTTCTCTCTGTCCCCTGCTTCTGTACATACTGTAGCATGGTATGGGTGTGAGTTGAGAGAACTTTTCCAGGTCACCAGCCTAAGTTCAGCAAGGCTCTTCCCAGCTTAACGACCTGCTGTCAGTGGCGGAGGTGCTAGTGTCCAGGAAAGCCCAGAGGAGTTGAGGCTTGCAGAGTATTTGAGTAGCTGCTTCAGGCTGACAGTGGGGCAGTGGTTTCTCTTATTGCTGAGGACAAAATCCTGAAAAATACTGTGGTCTTCCAATTCTCTTAACAGCATGCAGGTGATCAGACAGAATCACAGAATCATAGAATCATTTAGGTTGGAAGGGACCTCTGGAGATCATCTAGTCCAACCTCCCTGCTCAAGCAGGGTCACCTAGAGCAGATTGTCCAGGATCACATCCAGACGGGTTTTGAATATCTCCAGGGAAGGAGACTCCAC